GGTCCAACATTATCTTCTGTGTCTGTGTTAATTGGTTTCCCTTTTCTTTGTTGAAGAGGGTCTGTGCAGTCCTTCTGCCTAGTCTGCCATCTTGCCAGAACTCCTACCATATTATTTTTTAAGTCCAAAAAATTAAAAATCACCTCTGGACCTAAAAGTTTAGGATAGGAGATTATGGAACTTTGTATATAATTCTACATAGTTTGTGTACATATACTTCTATGTTCTAGGTCACAAAGGAAAACACATTTCTGAGTAGACTGAGACAAAAATACAAGAAAGTCACTAGGCCTTCATTAATTCTTAATGGCAAAAGTGCCATTGCCACCTTGATGTCTCAGAATCTTCCTATGCATTTTGTATTTTAATTCCTTTTTTTTTCTTTAAAAATTAATAGGCCAATATGTAGATGAAACAACCTTGCCTGCTGAAAGTAAAGACAACTTGAAGCACCTACTGATGAAGATCAAAGACTACAGCCTTTAGTCTGGACTACACCTCAACATAAAGAAAACAAAAATCCTCACAACTGGAGCAAAAAGCAACATCATGATGAGAAAAGATTGAAGTTGTCAGGATTTAATTTCACTTGGATCCACAATTAGTGTCCATGGAATCAACAGTCAAATAATCAAACAACATATTCCATTGGGCAAATCCTCTGCAAAAGCTCTCTTTAAAGTCTTTAAGAGCAAAGATGTTACTTTGAAGACTAAGGTACACCTGACTCAAGCCATAGTTACTTTCAATAATTGACTCCTATGCATGTGAGCATTGGACAATAACAAAGAAGACCACAGAAGAATTGATGCATTTGAATTATGGTGTTGGTGAAGAATTTTGAATGTACCATGCACTGCTAGAAGAAGGGGCAAATCTGTCTTGAAGGAAGTGTAATTGGAATACAAGTGAGAATAGCCAGACTTTGTCTCTCATACTTCGGTCATGTTGACAGAGGAATAAATCTCTGAAAAAGGATATCATGCTAGGTAAAATTGAAGGTCAGCAAAAAAGATGAAGACTCTCAACAAGACGGACTGATACAGTGGCTGCAACAATGGTCTCAAGCGTGGCGACAACCGTGGGGATGGCACGGGATGGGGTGGTATTTCATTCTGTTGTGTATAGGGTCGTTATGGGTTGAAACCAATTCGACAGCACCAAACATGTTTTCCAACAGTTTTAGGTCTACAGAAAAACTGAACAGAAAGTACGTATTTGTTGTCAAGGAGTGGATTTTTTTGTATTTTTTTATTATTTTTTTTTATTAGGATTTGGGTGAAGATGTACAGAGCAAACTCACCTTTCATACAGCAGTTCACACATACTTTGTCTCATGTCATTGACCAAAATTTACAATGCAGCAGCTCCCCTCCCACTTCCTCCCCACAGTCACCTCCTCCCAGTGTCCATCCCTTCA